CGGAGTGAGACTCCGACTAAAAAAAAAAAAAAAAAGTATCTGTAGGGACCAAAGTGAGGCCCAAACTTTACCTACACAATGGCCATTTGTATACCTAACCCTAAATTATACCCCACAACTTTAAAATAAAAATAATAAGTAGGTAACATCAAGGAAAGTGATCATGTCTAAACTTTAACGCATAGATCAATAGGCTTTAAACATCTTTTTGGCAAATCAGCAACTGCTTACTCATTAACAGTAAAAAAATCATTACTTAGTGCCAAAATACTGTTTTTCTCATATGAAGTTTATTTCTAACAGGTATAAACTTAGCAATTATCTCGTTTATTTGATCAGTAAGGTAACCCAAACCAACCATTTAGATAAAATTGCTTGAGGTCTAAATTTAGAGGTTGGTTTGTTTAGTCAAATAAACCAATAATATGACCCTTCAATTACGCTCAGTGAAATGAGCATAGTCCCAGTGTCAAAGTCTTATATATTGTGTAGAAATTAAAGCACCTGTTCTTACAATCATACATTAAACATTTCTCATAAAATATACCTTTTCATGAATTATTTTTACAGCTCACTAAATTATTCCTAGAAGCAATATTTGATTGTGCTAATTCCCCAGGAGTGCTCATTGAATACTCTTTAAAATGTTTTCAATAAAAATCCAACACAGAATTTTCTTCTTTAAAAAAAAATAGAATATTTAAACTAAGAAACAAGCATACAATGTAGACAGGTATCACAACATCACATTGTACCACATAAATACGATTATTATTTGTCAATTAAAAATAAATAAATAATTTTTTAAAATTTTAATCAAACAAGAAAAAAACAAAATCACCATAATTTTCTTGCCGAGTTAACATCTATTGACATAATAAAAAGGAGGAAACAGTCGGGCTTGGTGGCTCAGCCCGTAATCCCGTGCCTTTGGGAGGCTGAGGTGAGTGGATTGCCTGAGCCCGCAGGTTCAAGACCCGCCTGGGCAACTTGGCGAGACCTCATCTCTACAATAAATCAAAATGAGCCGGGCGTGGTAGTGCGCGCCTGTAGTTCCAGCTACTCAGAAGGCTGAGGCGGAAGGATCGCCAGAGCCCAGCAGATTGAGGCTGCAGTGGCCAGGAGTGGCCACTGCACTCCAATCTGGGTGACAGAGTGAGACTCCAACTCAAAAAAAAGTAGGAAACAAAATTAGCGACACTTTAGTATAAGGTTAGACAACTGTAGGATTGAATTTTATTCATTTTGTCTGTCTTTTCAAAATCAAACCCATTTCTCTGCTTTTCCAGATCACATATGGTGAACATAATTTACCTGTTTCTTAATGATCCCCCACCCACTAATTCCAGTATTTTGCTGCTCTATAATGCAATGGTGACCTCTAGGCCTCCTGAGATAGGTAACACTATTCTTCCTCCACTAAATGGCCTCCGGCTGCTGGACATGGGTTTTGGGACATGACTCTGACCTCATTTACTGTCAGCTCCTGGCTGACATTTACAGCAGATATGTTGAGGCATTCCCTCTCTTTCCCTCCCATCACATCCAATATGGTCGTTGTAACATGCTGTGGGCTTAGAAAACAGAATATCAAACTTGTGTGAAATGTAGGCTGAGGGAGGACCTGCGTGGTTGTCCCAGCCAACATAGTATACAGAACAGCACGCGCATAAGAGACCAGGATTCCACTTTCTATTTTGCCTCTGAATTCCCTCACAGAATTCCCTAATTCTATTGCTGAACTAGTTACCTTATGGAAGTCCCCTTACTTCACAGCCTCAGCTTCATCATCAGGCTATAACAGGTTTTATTCAAGGTTATTTAACATCTTCTCTAGCTCGAAGATTCTTCAAGTTATTTTTAAAACAGACTTTGCAAAATCTGTTTTAGCTGCTCAAATAAAATTTCAGTTTTCTTTTGACTCTCTAAAAAGCAAGAAGACTCCCCAAAAGAGCAAGATGGGAAAATAGTTGTGTTTCAGATACATAAAGTGGTAGTGCATAGTTATTCACGAAAGAAATATTTCGATATTTGTATGTTGGTTATTTTATAAAAAGATCGTTTCTTTTCTTTCATGATCACATGCATGTAAAATGTGGTGTGTATTATCAGCATACAGATATATATGGATATAACAATAAGATACAAAACCACACATAGACAAATAAGAATCTTTTATAGTATAGAATTTAAAACATAAATCCTAATTTTGTGGTTATAGAAATAAACACCCGCTTCTTTGAAAGTTTTGGATTAAGTATAGGTATATTTCAGGGTAGCTAAGGATAGGTCAGCAGGGGTTCCAGACACTCCTGTGAGAAAACGAAATGGTTTCATAGATAATGATCTATAATAATAGCATTACCAAATGTACAATGACTGCCATAGGAAATGAGTAGATGAGATTACAATATGTAGATTCAAGGGATGCATAATCTAGGAGTCTGGCTCCTCTGAGTTAGAAAAATAATAAACACCAATGAGGAGGAAAGAAGACTGGAGATAAAGACTGAATCAAGTTAGCAATTTGATTAGAGAAGGATAAAGTAAAACTCGCTGTCCTCATTGAAACCTGGGTGCTGTAATAACCCTCTGTAAAGGACCTTCATAAATATTTGTTACATGAATGAACCTATAAACTAGATACCTAGGTACTTGATAGCACCTTAGGTTTGCCCTAAAAGGTTAGTTTGATTCAAATCCAAAGGAAACTTAGGATCTAATTTAAAAATGTTAATATGTCTTTGTATAAGAGATGCAAAATTATTAACACATAATTTTGGAAATCTTCTTTAGATGAGCTCAACATAAAGCAGAAATAGACCTGCTTGTTCGTGTCTCTAGTATGAGAAGTCCCCTATACTTACATGTGCTATTTTAGAGAGCATAATGATGAAAAATTAAGTCCTATCTCTTTCATACTTCCGTGTTCGATTATAAGCAAATGATTTTTGCCCCCTTGAACCTCTTTTTTATATAAATCTGTAAACTGTAGATAACAGACGTGATGGAAGGATCAAATAAGCTAATACATGTGAAATAATTTTGTAAACTATAAGCAAAAGTAAGAAATTATTGACAAGGAAGCAAGTAGAACTAGATTAGAGTCATAGGTGAATGTGCTTAAAACCAAACTGCAGATTAAATTTAGGTTAATTGTGAGGAAGTAGCCAGGCCATTCAATTAATTTGGGCCTTGAGTTTATTGTTGGGATGATTACACTGTACAGTATTAACAGGTATGTGAAGAGCCTCTCCTCTTGCTACTCATTGTTAAAACCCAGCTGCACCTAGATGGATCAATAAAATTAAAATAAAACATATTGGAAGGCTGATATCGCATTGTTAACCTAAGAACATCGATAATGTGACTATAAGTTGCCATTATTTTATAAAAAGTAATTTTCGACACCAAAAAGCTAGAAGATCATAATTTCAGAAGAACGAACAATCCTTCTAAAAAAGACACTTGGCAACCTTACACTACCATCTGTGACTGGTTGGAAAGAGATCTCTCAATACATACTGTCCCCTATTTTTTCATAATATTAAGAACCAGTGAAAGCTTCATTATAGACCAGTATAGTAGCTTGCATTGTCCTTTAAGAACCACTGGAAGATTGAAGTTGGGAAGTTCCGTTCTGCTTATCTACATTTGAATAACAAATCCTAGTAACAATTTAATCTTCATACCTTAGCTGACATAAAACTACTCTTGTCCTATTTTTTGCTAGCAGAGAAACCATAATCTTCACCCTTTTGTAGCATATTGAAATCTTCTTCTTACTAGTTCAGATAGTTTATAGTTCACTTTACTTTATTTATTTGTTTGTTTGTTTTTATTTATGTATTGCTTTTTTAGGGATGGGGTCTCGCACTGTTGCCCAGGCTGAGTGCAATGGCATGATCACAGCTCACTGCAGCTGCAAACTCCTGGCCTCAATTGTTCCTCCTGCCTCCACCTCAAGTAGTTTTGACCTTTGAGATCTTTCCTCCAGGGAGAAAAAAGACCAAGACCACTACTCCTGCTGGAGCTTTCAATGCATCAAGACAAACTTTAAGTTAAAATATGACATCAGGTTATTTTTGTGAAAGAATGTCTTACTTGTTTTTAACATGTAGCACTATGGGAATATATCTATTTAAAATAATGATTATTTAAAAATTTTTTTGGCAACCTCTCGTCCCCCTCCCACTCTGGGAGCTTTTCTGTCCTCTCAATAAATCCTGCTCTCCAAAAAATAAAAATTAAAAAAAAATAAAAGATTTTTAATATTTTAACTTATTCGCTACCACCAACTTATCAACAAAAATCCTGAAAGCCACTAATTAACCTGTATGGTGACTCTATTCATAGTTAGGACATGAAATACACCGGTGAAGAAAAAAGTGATTTGATCAGTTTTTAAACACGCGTTTAAAACATTGTTAGGCTTTCAAAAATCTAGGTGTAATTTACATATAACAAAACGAACAGGCTTGAAAATATTCAGTTTGATGAGTTTTGATAATTATGTATACCTCCATGTAGCAACCACCCAGAATAAGACATAGAACATTTCCATTACCCTAGAACATTGCCTCGTGCTATTTTTTAGTCCTACAATCCTACTGGAGACAACCATGTTTTATTTTTATTACCATAGGTTAGATTTTCCTACTCATCTAGATGGAATCACCCAACATGTATTAGTTTGTGTGTGGCTGCTTCCTCTCTGCGTTGTTTTTGTTTTATTCACAATTTGTCCACATTGTTGGGGATTTTCATGGTTCATTCCATTTCTTGCTTATAAAGCAATTTAATTTTTAAAAATGTATTCTCTTGTTGATGGAGAAAATATCAAGTGCTCCTACAAATCAATAACAAAAAATGACGATAATTATTATTACTATGAATAAAGTTCCCATGAAATTCTTTCATATAACTTTGTATAGCTTTTTTGGTTTTTTTGGTCAAATACCTGGAAGTAGAATTGTTAGGAAATAGGGAAGATGGACATAACTTGGTAAGAAACTGCTAGATGAGCCGGGCTCGGTGGCTCAGCCTATAATCCAACGCCTTTGGGAGGCTGAGGTGAGTGGATTGCCTGAGCCCGCGGGTTCGAGACCCGCCTGGGCAGCGAGACCTCATCTCTACAATAAATCAAAAAATCAGCCGGGCGTGGTAGCGCGTGCCTGTAGTTCCAGCTACTTGGAAGGCTGAGGCAGAAGGATCGCCGGAGCCCAGCAGGTCGAGGCTGCGGTGGTCGGGAGCAGCCACTGCACTCCGGTCTGGGTGACAGAGTGAGACTCCGACTCAAAAAAAAAAAAAAAAAAAAAAGATGCAGAGGGAGAGAAATGAAAGACCAATAACTCAAAGTAAAAATGGGCAAAAAGCCGGGCTCGGTGGCTCAGCCTGTAATCCTGCACCTTTGGGAGGCTGAGGTGAGTGGATTGCCTGAGCCTGCGGGTTCGAGACCCACCTGGGCAGCGAGACCTCATCTCCACAATAAATCAAAAATCAGCCGGGTGTGGTAGCACATGCCTGTAATTCCGGCTACTTGGAAGGCTGAGGCAAAAGGATCGCCGGAGCCCACCAGGTCGAGGCTGCGGTGGCCGGGAGCGGCCACTGCACTCCAGTCTGGGCGACAGAGTGAGGCTCCAACTCAAAAAAAAAAAAGAAACTGCTAGTTGGTTCTCCAAAGTGGTTGCACCACTTTATACTTCCACCAATACATGAGAGTTCTATTTGCTCAACATATTTACCCACATTTGGTATTGCCATCTTCGTGATTATAATTATTCTAGTAGACATAAAGTAGTATTTCGTTGCTGTTTTTATTTTCATTTACCTAATGGTATTGAGCACGTTCATTTATTTATTGACCAATTGAGCATGTTCTCTTGTGAAGCCTCCAAATCATTTGCTATTGTTTGATGTCTTCTTGTTACTGATGTGTAGAAGTTTTATTTTATTTTTATTTTTTCTGGATTCAAGACCCTTAGCAGATATATGATTTGAGAATAGCTTTTTCTGAATGTGGTTTGCCTTTTTATTTTTAATAGTGTCTTTAGATATGTCTAACTTTTTAAATTTGATGACGTATAAGAGCTGATCCATATTAACCAGGGACTTCTCTAGTGTCCATTTTCAGTCATGAAGCAGGTTATTCTAATTGTTTGGATGGTATACATGTTGATCAAAAAAAAAGGGTAAGATCAGGGATAGGTACATATGCATTTTTAAAATCCTTCTAGACTACATAAATTTTGTTGTGGCTTTCTGACCACAAGTCATACTTTATTGAGTGTTCTGTTCCCCAATAAGCCTTTGTCCAAATTGTCTATCTTTATAATCATCTGTGCTTCTTACATTGCTAGAGGCCTGATGCCATAAGGGTTTTCACTGCTATATATATTCGCACTTCTTTCTTTCTTTTTTTTTTTTTTTGAGTTGGAGTCTCACTGTTGCCCAGGCTGGAGTGCAGTGGCATGCTCATGGCCACCGCACCCTCGACCCGCTGGGCTCAGGCAATCCTTCTGCTTCAGTCTTCCAAGTAACTAGAACCACAGGCGTGCACTACCATGCCTGGCTAATTTTTTGATGTATTGTAGAGATGAGGTCTCATCAAGTTGCCCAGGTAGGTTTCAAACCTGTGGACTTAGGCAAATCTCGGCCTCCCAAAGTACTGGGATTACAGGTTTGAGCCATCAAGCCTAGCATTATTTGCATTAAAAAAAAAAAAAAAAAGATATTGGAAACTCCAATGCTGCTGTCTCAGAAAATTCCCTTCTGATTTTCTCTGGGCATAGAGAAGCAAAAAGTGAAAAATTAAACAAAGAAAGAGAAAGAAATGTGGCAACGGCACAGCTTTAACGGAAAAGAGTTAAATCAAAAGACATTATCAAGGTCAATCACAAATCCATTCTGAACTATAGAACTCTCGCAGGGCTTTTAAAACAAAGCCAGACAGATATTCCGCACTTGATACCCATTGAATGAATGAAGCAGCCCCACAGTTCCATGAGAAAACAGGGAACGGTGGAAAAGAAAACATCAATCAAAGGCGAAACAGGGTTTCTTACTGTTCCCTGCAAGCTCGGGCAGCCGCATTCCAGGTGCCTTTCCTCTGGGTAATCAAGATGTAACAGTAACCTGAGTGCTGGTGCCACCCAGCTGGGCAGGATTTGTCTTCCACATCCTGAAAAATAGTTGTCTCTGTTCACATCATAATGGTCTTTACAATCTAGAGTCTGCCCTCAGCATAAGGAGCCCCGAGAGTCCCCTGATGTCAATGAAGCAATGTGGGCATTACAAAGGGAGTCTGCCCTAATCCCAATCCTCCGTCTTGAGAAAGGCCGTAGCTCACAGAAGACATCACCACAGTCAGCAGCATTTCACTTTCACACTTTGGCATTCTCACAATTAAGCAAAATAAGCAGGCATCGTCTTAAATTGAATTGATTTACCTAATGCACTTTGTGATTGAAGAAATCACAGTGTGGGCCCTCTCTCCCCCGTGGCCTTCAAGGTGTAACAAGGGCAAGCAGAGACAATGAGTTGAGTCAGGCCCCAGATCGTTCCCTCTTTATTAGCTTATCAAAGGACACACCGCAAGTAAAGGTGCTTGGCTACTCAGCCCGTCTCCCACCTTGGTTTGGGGGCTCCAGGCTTTCCAAGCAATTCCATCGCACCGATACAGAGTCTGGATGCTTTCTTCAAAATGGAAGAGTCCCTTTAATTCCATAGTGCAGTTCTTTGGAAATGAGGGCAACTGGTCCTATGGGAAGGAAAGGCAATTTAGAATTGACTCATTGTAAATCGATCATATACTTACCTCCTTTGGGTCTTCATCATTTGTTAGGAAGCATTTGTGTTGAGTAAACTATTCCCAAGCTTGGAGGCTACTTTGTGAATTAAGTGTGTGTAGGCCCCAGCAAACAACTTGTTCTAAGGTGAATAGGAAGGAAAAAAAGATTTTCATACCTGTCTGGGGAAGCGTGAGTCAGTTGTGGATTCCACCCTATCTGCTTGAGGCAATTCTGCCACTTTGATTGTCTTCTGTGGCTGACTAATGATGGATACTTCGGCCTTCCTTTCGTGAGCTGGGGAACTGTCATCCTTCAGTTTCAAGGAAATCACCCCGTGATACTTGAGGAAACCAACAGTCAACAACAGTAAGGAAAAGACAGACACCAAGAGAGCAAACAAAAACATTTGCTGTAAATTGAGCAATTCAAAAATTTGATCAAAGCAAAAAGACAAAAGGGTTTTTTTTCTTATTACCCAAGCTTCTAATTTCAAAACAAGTTTTTAAGAGAAACATACCAACATCCAAATTAAAATAAGTTTCATTAAATATTTTACTTACATAAATACAAGAAATTTAGCAATTCTCTGACTATGCTTACATTATAGATGATGTCTGTTCCATTTCTATAAACAGAGGACGGATGGACCTGAAATCAACAGATAACAAAATAGAAACAATATTGGCTTGAATGATAACTAGCAATAGTGTAAAAGCACCCAATAAGATCGTGCTAATATCTGCCACTTTTTTGTGTGTGTGTCAGAGTACCATGGAACAATTCACTGTATATTTACTGTACATATTATACAGTTCACTGTAGCTTTGACCTCTTGGGCTCAGGGGGTCCTTCCACCTCAGCCTCCCGATTCACTGGGATTACAGGTGTGCACTACCATGCCCAGCTTTTTTTTATTTTTATTTTTTGGTAGAGATAAGCTCTCCCTATCTTGCCCAGGCTAGTCTTGAATTCCTGGCCTCAAGTGATCCTCCTGCCTTGGCCTCCCAAAGTGCTGGGATTACAGGCATGAGCCTCTGTGCCCAGGGAAAATTTTTAAAACATACGTTTCTTGAGATTTTCCACGTCCAAATCATTGAAATTTCAACAATCACTAGGCCTAACCACTATTTATGATTGTTGTGGGTATTTAAACCTGCGTAGTTCCAGTTAAGGAGAAAACATATCTTTATTTTTTGGTACATTTATAATACACAGAGGTCCAAACACATCAACAACAACAACAACAACAAAACACAAGCCCTCCCTTTCCTCCCGCCACACACATGCATTCGTGAGAGTGTATGTGGCTAGAACACTGTGTCTAGTGAGGTGACAACTTCCATATCTAAGTGGCTCACTTAATCGCACTCAAGTTCAGCGTCACTAGTCATTCCCTGTCTTAGTCACAGAAGGAATCAAAGCAGAAATCATATGGATGAATCAGTCAACCTATCACTTCAATTAGCACAATTAACCAAGTGGGGTCGCCTAATGATCTTTGTATACAGAAGGCAACGCATTACTCTGCAAGAAACCTTGGCCCCCACTGACAACAAGAATCAAAACAGCTCTTCAGTGTTTTTCCTAAGACTCATCCATGTCGTTGGATTCTTTTACTGTGTATCCCACACATCAGCTCCCAGAAGGTCCCCATCCTTACTGTTTTGCCATTCCCGTGGGTCCTAAGCTTCCTTTGAGAAAGATCTGTAGAATCAAAGCCCGGCAGGGTATCTCCCCCAGTTTCCGCTAGCCGCTTGGAAGATGGAAGAGGTCTTCTTTCCAGATGAAAGGAACCAGACGTGGTGGGCGAGGACGACCCTGGGGGCAGCCGACGCCAAATGCCCTTCTCCCAGGCGCTGAAGGAATATGAAGGATGGCACGGTCCTGGAGGCAGGCAAGATGGCAGGCGGTCAGTCCATTTCACACAAGCAGATAAGGGATCACGTTGACACAGCCCCTGGAGCTGCCTGTCATTAAACTTAGATGGATGGGGTTCCCACCAGATGTTGCCTTCCTGCCATTTGCCAGAAACTCCTCTACTCTTCATCAGTTTTCATCTAGGAAAGCTGTGCCCTTCTGCACGTCTCTCGGGTGGCTATAAAGTCATGAAATTGATTTCACAAACCCCATATGAAAATCATTGTCATGATTTTATAACCCGGCCATGCACTTGGGAAACAGTCTCCCTTCTCGGGATAACAGTACTCCTCAAAATCCCAGGTGTATTCACTTCAAGGTAGTCGTCTCCTCAAGGTAGAAACTGGAATTGCTTAAAGATGTCATAGAATCAAGTCACAGGTATAAAAATTGGCACTCAGCTCTTACAGAACAAAGACCTCGTAAATCTTAACAGAGTGGTTTCTATTGGAAATCTCTCCAATTAGTATATCTGGGAAGGCATGAAAAAAAAATCTAAGATTAGAACCTTCGTCTGAGTATTTTACATGTCATATATAAAGTGTGCATTTCACGTATTTTGTTTACTTAATGTGACCGGGAAATTTTACTAGAAAGGAAATGAATTCGGTGAGGAAAGCAGTGGGACGAGATGTTGTGGAAACACGCATGCTATAAAGAAAAGAAGATCGTGCCCATTTTTGTCAGAGGGTGAGAAAGAGGAGATAATTGATTCCAGGTTCAAAAACAGTATGGACCACAGGGCATGGCAGGTGTAAAAATGGGAGTATAAGATAGAGTATGCTACTGAACACTTGCCAAATGCTAAAAAGACAAGTAACTAGAAGGTATTTGGCAGAAGAAAAATCAGAGCACCAAGGACTTTGGCTGGTCTTTATTTTTAGTTCACAGGTTGTTTTTTGGCACCTACAGCCCAGGACCTATTCGGCTGTGCCACCCAAAGTCATTCATTAATATTCTCCAGCGACTCCGAATCCCCAAGCCAGCTGTATCTTTCACGTCTATTTTTCTCCAATTTCTTCCTCTCTTAGAATTTTCCTGGTCACGCTACAGTGGGGGTTCAGATTTTAGGCATTAAGAGCAATCTTTAACAGAGGAAGATAATTACAGCTCTACAAACTCTGGGGGAAAATAATCGTCAGTAGATTCTCACCACCATCGCTCCCTGCTCGGTGAGAACAACAAACGGGTAGGAGAAAAACAGCCACGGCACTGACTTGTTGCTTTTCTCAAGCGATAGTTCTTAGCGGGAGGAAAACCACATGAAACGACAACCGGAATAAAGGGCCTCCATCATGAGTGAGGCTGCTTTCTTGACGAGAAATTAAGCATTTGGATTTGAAGGTGTTATCAAGCACAATTGGCTGTCGAAAGCAAGGGCTGCAGCGCCAGGACCGCTCCTGATTTCAAGATGAGGATCAAAAGAATACCTCCTTTTGAGTCCAAAATTTTCACTGCAGCTTTTGTCTTCGTGCCAAGAACTGCATTCACAGGGGAGTTCAGAATTACTTCAAAGACCTCATCATCTTCCTCTAATCCGTCATAGGTAATTGCTATATTCCACATCTTAGTTGACGTTCCTACAAGAAGTAAACATTTTAATTACTCCTTAATTGCTATTTCAATCACCTAGGTGTCAGAGAAATATATTAATTAACATGTCTACAGCTAGACTGCAGTAGCCCGAGTGAGCCATTGTACTGCAACCAACTGGCTGAAGTCCTGTTGTTCTCCCAAAGAATATGAAAAGACCACATTTGTTCCCCGACAATGATGATTCCGTTTAAATGCAAACATAGTAACAAAAAGTAAGCTGCGTGATGCAGGGGGTGGAAGAAAAAAAAATGGTTCGCAGATAAGATCCAAGACTTAATTTTCTTCCCAACCTGTCCCGTCTCTTCCTGAGAATAAACAAGTGCTGCAATCTTCAAATCCTGATCGTTTTAAAAATCTGAAGATGGCCGGGCTCGGTGACTCAGCCTGTAATCCCGCGCCTTTGGGAGGCTGAGGTGAGTGGATTGCCTGAGCCCACGGGTTCGAGACCCGCCTGGGCAGCGAGACCTCATCTCTACAATAAATCAAAAAATCAGCCGGGTGTGGTAGCACGTGCCTGTAATTCCGGCTACTCGGAAGGCTGAGGCGGAAGGATCGCCGGAGCCCAGCAGTTCGAGGCTGCGGTGGCCGGGAGTGGCCACTGCACTCCAGTCTGGGCGACAGAGTGAGACTCCGACTCAAAAAAAAAAAAAATCTGAAGATGTTGGTACAGACAGAAGTGATTATCGAATGTTGCTTCATGCTATTCATGGAACCCTTGAAATGATTGATGTCTACACCATTTCTAAAGACAGCTGCCTCTGTCTGCTGCCCCACTTCCTGAGATCCTTCTAGCCCACAAATGCTTTTTCTGATGATGTAATACTCCGTGGTTTGATGTCCTCCTAGAGAAAAGGTATGGGCTGGGGTTCTAGAAATAGACCAAGCCAGTTTTGTTTTGTTTCTCTCTTTCTGTCTGCCTGTATTCATCAAGTTACAATCAAGCTTGATTCGCAGTAACTTTGCGAACTTAATACAAAACAGTTTCGATATTACAAACATATCCCAGCTATCCTGTCACCACCAAGATGGGAAGCAAAGCAACCCCAGAAACACAAAATATGAAGGCTGGAAGAAACTTCTGAGTTTGTCTAATTCTGTCCAGTTTCCATGATGGAGATCACAGGCTATCTCCTGAGTTTATTTAGAAGAGAAAGTAATGGCAGGAAGTAAAGAGAATACTTTGTAGCGGAGAAAGAAGGCTCAAGTTTATGGGAAAAAATATAGTAAACTTATGGTTTTACCTTTCAGAGCTAAGTTTGAAAAGCTAACCCTGCCATTTACTCATTGGTTACAAGTGCTTTCATTCCCCTAGGCCCCTCTATATGAGACAGTTGGAAAAGAGAACAGTTTTTTTTTTTGTTTTTTTTAAATTTGAGTTAGAGTCTCACTCTGTCGCCCAGACTGGAGTGCAGTGGCCGCTCCCGGCCACCGCAGCCTCGACCTGCTGGGCTCCGGCGATCCTTCCGCCTCAGCCTTCTGAGTAGCCGAAATTACAGGCGCGCGCTACCACGCCCGGTTGATTTTTGATTTATTGTAGAGATGAGGTCTCACCAAGTTGCCCAGGCGGGTCTCGAACCCGCGGGGTCAGGCAATCCACTCACCTCAGCCTCCCAAAAGCGAGGGATTACAGGCTGAGCCACCGAGCCCGGCAGGAAAAGAGAACAGTTCTACACTATTGGTGGGAGTGTAAACTAGTACAACATCTGTGGAAAACTGTGGCAATTCCTAAAAGATCTAAAAGTCGGTCTTCCATATGACCCAGAAATCCCCCTTCTGGGAATATACCCAGAGGAAGTCAAATCACTCTATGAAAAAGATGCCTGCATGCACATATTTATTGCTACATTATTCAAAACAGCAAAAACGTGGAACCAACCATGCAGCCCATCGAAAGTGAACTGGATTAAAAAGATGTGGTACATATACATGATGGAATATGACACAACCATAAAGAAGGACAAAATTATGAACCTCACAGCAACTTGGAGGGATTTAGAGTCTATAATACTCAGTGATCTATCACAGAAAGAACTGAGTACCACATGTTCTCACTCATAAGTGGACCCTGAACAATTATCATAATACTGTAAGAAAGGGATTGGCAGATAGTGGAAAACTGCCAGGGGAGGGAGGGGCGATACACCTCATCAATAAGGGTACCTGATCTCAAACCATATGATATGGGGATTAAAGTGAGGCCCAAATTTTACCTGTACAATGACCGTTTGTATACCTAACCCTGAATTGTACCCACCTTTAAAATTAAAATAAAAAAGTAAAAAAGTAGTTAAGAAAGTAGTTCTCATCGATCCCCAACAAAATCCAATGGAGAGATGGAACTATCCACTGATTCCACCCTTGACTGGTTGCACTTGAAACAAAATTAGCTGTATTTGGAATAATTGTATTTAAAAAATTAGATTGACAGCTAGTTTATTAAGCTTTCAGTACTGAGTTTTTGTATCAATTACTTTCACACTCTTTGCAAAAACAGAAATTGAGGGACCTAATATAAAATACTATATAATGTCTATCTCGTGGATGGATGGATCAATCCATCAAAATACATATTTGGGCCGGGCTCGGTGGCTCAACCTGTAATCCCGCGCCTTTGGGAGGCTGAGGTGAGTGGATTGCCTGAGCCCGCGGGTTCGAGACCCGCCTGGGCAGCGAGACCTCATCTCTACAATAAATCAAAAAATCAGCCGGGTGTGTAGCGCGTGCCTGTAATTCCAGCTACTGGAAGGCTGAGGCGGA